TTTATAAGATAAGATTTAACGATGATATATGTTACACTTGGTCTTTACATATTAATAGGGGTGAGCATAGGCGGGTACCCGCCCTTTTTTACAGGAACGGGAACGGGAACCAGAACCGACGGTTCTTGGGATATTGGAACCGGAACCGGTTAGAGCGGTTCTTAAATTTTTGGAACCGGAACCGGTTCCGGTTCCGGGTACCCGCTTCCTAAAATATTAAAATTTTGTTATTTATAAATAAAAAATAAAACATTGCCAAAACACTAAATAAATAAGCAAGAATACAAATTATACAGAATAATGGTTACAAATATTGTTTAACGATAAAAACCATAATAGACTAATAGAAAATGTTCAAAGTTTAACGATTACATACTATAATTGTAAATGTTCAAAGTTTAACGATTGCATACTATGAATCCAAGTGAACACACAATTTGAAAAAAATATGAATCATTTTATATGAAGAATTTAGATGAAGTATGAAGATAACGGTGTGCTTTCAAGATGTAAACTTAATATAAATTTGGTATTAAAAAATAATAATTATTTTTTTATTGAAAAATATTGGGTACCCGACGGGTAACGGTTCCGAAAAATTGAGAACCGGAACCGGAACCATTCTCAATCGGTTCCGTATTTTAGGAACCGGAACCACTCATATTGGTTCCGGAACCGGCGGTTCCAAGGCGGTTTCGGTTCCGTAGCCTGGTACCCGGTTCCGCTGCTCACCCTTACATATTAATACAATTTGAATAAATAAGAGTTATGGCTCCAATTACAGACTATCGATGAAAAAAATTGTATGACAGTTTAAAATCCAATATATTTAAAATCCAAGATATTTAAACGACTTCACAAATGTGTTCGATTTACACCAAGAGCAAATAACCAATAAACTTGAGTTTTAAGATAAACTGTAACGCCCCCAGAACCCCGTAGCAATGATATTGTCCGCTTTGACTAACCTGCCCGCTATACCACAAAGCAGTAGTCGCACGGTTTTGTTTCTGGCAGCCGCACAACGCAAGCCCCAAAACCGGTCATGCTAGGATGAGGTATCCACACCCTTATAAGGAGTGCTTAGTTCTCCTCACCAACCGATGTGGGACGGGATGTTACAGGGAAGTTGGAAGGAAGGACGAGCTTCTGTTCGAAAGAGAAGGGGGGGGTTATAAGCATTCCCTCTTGAAAATCTCAGACCGCCGGAAGTAGCATCGGTCGGCCATGTGCGCCGTCCTCCTCCGGTTTCCTTGCCCAAACAGCAGCAGCCGGAACTGTCTCCTTCAACCAGCAACAGCAGCGGCAGGAAGCAAGACCGTCGTGTCTGCCTCGACCAGCGACAGCAGCAGCAAGGGAGGGAGCTGCTGCGTGCTTTTCCTGCCGGGACCGAACAGCGCACAGCAGGCATCGGCCTCGCTRTGCTGTTTCTTCTCGACCTGCCGTCCGAACCAGCAACTTGCCGTGYTGTTTCTCTTCGCGTTCCTTGCCGGACAGCCGACAGCAACCTGTTGTGTTCCGCCCAACAGCAGACAGCACCAGCAGYTGCAGAAACAGCCCACGGCTGTGTTTTTCTCGCGGCAAACAGCAACAACAGCAGCAAGCTGCTGCGTTTTCTCGCCGCTTCTCGGACTGCACCGAGCAGAACAGCAGCAGCAGCCGCGTCCRTGGCGGCCTGCACCGAGCCGAACAGCAAACAGCAGCCGACAKCAACCTCTATCAGCAGCCTAGATGTTGGGGGGATTTATCCTAAATCCCACTATGTGAGTTCATACTATATGRTCATCTTATTTTATTTAAATTGTTATATGTCATATGTGCCGACACTCTTAATGCTTAGAACTTATTACCTTTAGATGATTTATAGACTTGGGTCACAATTTAGAGACCGTGGATGATTGTGGCTTGGTCTATCAAAGGCCCAAATTTTATTTGAAAGATGAGGACCGATTACGAACCGTCTAAAAACCGTGGGAACCAATATAAATTGTTCGTAGAGTTACACTCGGTTTGTAGGTGGTGTTGCACTACCTTAGAAAATCATTTGAGATTATATTTGATGTTTTACGTTTTACATCCTTAGGCTTGGGTTATTACTTTAAATAACTTCTATACTCGGAATGTTAAGTAGTATGGACTTGGAGGTCAATTCTTTTATTAAGTGTTAGTGGTGAGTTCATCTAACCCTATACTTATATATATACTTTTATATATATATATATATATAAACCTATATATTATTGAAATGAAATACCTTTCCTTATCCTACGCCTTATTTGCTGCACATACTCACTTGGGTGAAATAGATAGTTTGGGAAAGGGGTAAACTTGGGCAATCTCATTATTAAAGAAAGGTCGGGTTTGGACATAGGACGTTGATCAAATGGTAGGATGCTACATTCAAAGTATTGTTGGCCACTAAACTCTAAAATCCTCATGTTCTTAGGTTGAGGCTCTTTATTGTCAATATGGGCATCTTCTGTTGTTCGAGAATGGGCACGTGCATCTATCTTTTGATAAATAGGTGCTAATATGATTTCGGCTCCGTATTCAAATTTAGCACGGAAGGTATTGAGTTTGTAGTGCATGTATACCATTTTATTTTATTTGTGAGGGATGGTATAAGTTGGTGATAGGCATTGTGATTATTATGTAATCACCAAATCATCCTCTCACTTCCACTCGGTAATAGGCATTGTGATTATTATGTAATTACCGAGG